CCCTCAAAAAAAAGAGGAGAAAGAAGCATCTGAACAGGATATTGTGTATTAACTGTAAGGAGAGGAAATTAATAAACCAGAAGCATGCCATGTGTCCACTTAAAATGATCTGTGAATATTTTACATGTAAGGTATATATGATCTGCTACAGAGCAGTTAACCTTTTAGAGGAGAGGATTTTGCAACAGAAAAGGATGCTTATTTTCAGCTTCTCATAAGTTTATAGAAATGGATACAAAGGAGAAACAAGATTAAAGACCCCATGGCTGTACAGTTTAATACTGTTAAAATTTACTTAGCAGTGCTTTGGTCTTTTAACCCCAAATTATTCCCCCAAATTTTTACATATTCTACAGCACTAAGCCACAGAGTTGTGCTGTTGTCCCCACTCTGCAAGCTTGAAGGGAGGGACAGGAAAACATAAAAAATCTGCCTGAAAGGTTTTGCATTCATTGCCTCGCTACAAGTGATGTGGGCGGACCCACGTTCTGCTAAAAATTAATGGTGTGCCTTCTTAAAGGATGCTAGATAGAAATATGGTGCCTGCGCCTGTGGTTCCCATATTTTCATCTAGAAAATCCCAGATAGAGATAAAACGTACAGTATTTTTTTCAGGGCAATTGCAGTTAGCTTTCCACACCTGTGCTGGATGCATAGGTTGAAAGGGCAGTGTGTACCTAGTGGCCATTTCGCCAGGCACCCCAGCTGGAGAGGCAGAGATGCTCTGAACGGCTGCCCCAGCAGTTATCTGGATGGGAGGTATTTCAAGGCACAATACTAATGCTGTTACTGCAGCAAATCCACACTTACAGTTGGTACAGTGCTTAAAACGAATTCTGAGACTACTGATTTAAAACCAGATCATCTCATACTGATACCATTCATGGGTCGGCTTTCCACAGGTCAGTAGATCCCAAACTACTTCCAAACTGAACACCAGCTTTCCCCTGTGGCGTACAATATTTTGAGACTCAAACTGTGCAAGACATGGGGTAAGAGTTGAAATTGCAACCTTGTCCTTCTACAAAGATTGGTTCGACCATGGGCTTACAGTTAAAGAACAAGTTCCCAGGCACAGCAGGGACACCACATCCTGCTCCAGACCATGCCCAGCTCCTGCAGCCAGGCACAGCGGAGGGGTGGACCATGGACCACGTAACTGGTTACTTCCCACTCTGGGAGTAGGGAGGTGACATCTCATATACATGAACAGGAGACATAACAGCAAGGAAGCTTGAGGCTGGTGTCAGTTTTTGTGACTCATGTCCCATGCCTAAACTTGACAGATCAAAAGACTTCTGAGCTCCCGGGAAAGCCTTTGTTAATTGTCATAGAGAAGCAAAGACCTGGGGGACCTTCTAGATTTTTGTTTTGTTTTTCAAATGCACAAAAAATTGGCACATTAAGAAAAGAAAGGTCTTCATGGAAAGCTAAATCAAAACCCAGAACCTCATTTAACCTCTCCACGGCCAGACAATGTTGAATTCAGGAACAGTGAGTGAGAAAGAGTGCTTAGAAATGAAAATAAGAATGTTTTCATTACCTTTTCTGCAAGCCAGCCTAGGTGCCTAATCTCTCGACTTCCAGCAATCCCTGTTTTACCCAGCTGGTCTCTGACCTCTGCAATCACCCTGGGGATGAGCTCATTGACACTGGAGTGGATGGCATTGAACCAGGCCTGGGCTGTAGCCGAATCCTTACTCCTGAGCACCACGGTGTGCTTGGCATCAGGTGAATGAACTTCAATAAGTCTAGAAAAATGGGGGGGAAAAACATTATGTTCACTCAGATACTGTTAGGTGGCTAAATTTATTACCTCGCTTAGTGTTAGCAATGCATTAAAAAGAAGGGTACTAATATCAAGACCTAGCACCAGAAACTTACCTTTGCAACACCTGAATAGAGTAGAATCATTTTAACTGAAGCCAGGTCTGTACTGGCATTGCAGTAAAATCCTTGAGAAGGGGATTTGCCAGTGCTGATTCAACCCCACATCTGGCACGTCAACAGGAGTTTCAAACATAAAGGCAAGAGGAGCATTCACCCATTAACATTCACCGACATAGCAACCACCCAGAACCGCATGGGAGATGACTGCAGAGAAGCCAGGGATAAGCAGCTGCCTTCTTTAGTTGGATATCACAGCACACCCAGAGTTTCTCAATGTGTTTATTTTACACATACAGGGCTAACTGAAAACCACCCTCATCCCAAAAGGACGAGATTTCTTAGGATTGTGCTGTGGTTTCAGTGACACCACTAAGCATCAGCCAGAAGCCTGGTGTAATTGGCCTTCTCCAGGAGTTACTGATGTCCTCAATGCTCCATTTAGATCCTGCTAACAGCAGCAGCACGGAAGTGCTAACCACAACCGTATGATTGCTGCTGGCAGGCATCTTTTACAGTTTTCCAAACTCCCATGGAGATATATTTTTTTCCCCAAAAATATGCTTACTAGGACCATCCTGAGGGCTTCCACCCCACCGCTGTGGTTTGAAAAGCACAGGCGAACACAGTTTCCAGGAAAATGATTCTTGTCCGTCGTGGTTATGGGACCTGTGCCAACACCTTTGCTAACAACAACAGCAACAAAAATGCTTTGAGAGGCAGCTGCAGCTATTTCAGCTCTGTTCTCAGTGAAGTTACTAGTTATTAGTGGGGCTCTGTGTGCTCCTTATAGCTCTGTGGGCCACCTTTACTTAAACATTTGTTAAACAACCCACTAAGTAATAGTCTGGTTTATCTTTACGTAGTGATTATAAAACCAAGCCCTGGTCATTGCCCATCACTCAACTCTATCACGTTTGTGCTTTTTCATTATACACACAGAGTGACTGCCCCTGAACATTACCCACACAAGTTCGACCTGGGATCTGAGCCTAAGCACGTACTTCAGTCCTGTGTGTTGCTGCCCGATCTCTGGGACACACAAAGACTCCTTTCTGTAGCAGAAAAGTAATTAGTTCAGTGGAATTTATTCAGGTTGAGGTTCAAGACAGTACTGTAATGCAAATATTTGTTATGCAATTAGAAAATCCTGCAATTTGGAGCTTAACTAACAATTAAGAAGTTTTAATTAATTGGTTAAACCAGATCAGAATCCAGAACAAAGGGCGACTCGGTTCTGTGAAGCTCTCTGGGGCTGGGAGAACGAGGACCGCTGGTCTCGTGTTTGTCCATTTTGGGAAGGGGAGGTCTCCACGTAGACACTGCTCTAAAGATAGAAAAGGTCAGGATTTTCCAAACTCAGCAGCTGAACTGTTCAGGGTCCTAAATCACTGTTTGGATAGCTTAAAAAGTGGGTTGATTTTTCAGAAAGCACTGTGTCAACACAGTAACGCATGATTCCTCGGTAAAGCTGCTGGAGCTCAGCACTGTCTGAAGATAAAGGCTCTTATTTAGCCGCTCCAGAATGCACCGAGGATTCAACCCCAGGTACCAAAAGGAAAACTCCTTGTCAGATGATGCAGGTGTGGTGAATAAGAAAGCTGTGTTTGTAGATAAGCACGTTCCCAATCACACTGATTTTTCTGAACTGCCAGAAAAAGCTGTCTCCCCAACAGTTATGATTTAGACATTTGTGCTTGATGACCATTACGATCATGCACAGCTACCACACCCTGGTCTGTCTGTCCATCAGAAACACCGCTCTCCCACTGCCACATGAACTTGAGTTTGAACTTGTTCTTGTAGCCAGCTACCAACGGAAACAAACTATACAGGCTTGGATTTTCAGAGTACATTGTGGTAATCGGTGAAACATTGCTTATTACTTACAGAGCACTTTTTGGCACGAGATCTTGCGGCATTTTACAAATGAGGTCAGTGACAGCATCCCCATTTCACCACCCAAAAAGTGGAAAGGTGCATAAGCCAAATGAGCCAGGGAACAAGCAGCACTCCGTATTTTCTGCACTCTAACTCCCTTTTTAATACTTGTTTGAAAGAGAAAACCTATTCGGACAGCACAGCAGTATTGTGTTGTTTTTGAAAAATGTTAATGCACCATATGGATTGTGTGAAAAAAACGCTCTTCACAAAGCCTGTGGTTTCTCTAAGGGAACTCCCACCTCCAAAGTCACCGTCTATCGTGCGGTAAACAAAGCACTGAACAAGGACTGTACCGACAGAGAAGAATGTGCTGCTTTTTCAGTTGCAAAGGAACAGCAGCAAACTTGTGTCATTTCAAGTTAGAGTTGTAGCAGGCTTTGGTTTAAAAATAAATTATCTAGAACTGAAAGAGCTTCCAAATGGCAACTCGCCTCCCTCCAATTTAGAATACACTTAAATTCTTACTTAAAGCAAGGGGATTAACATATGAATGAGTATTTTGCTACTTGGGCCTTCATCAAGGTGTATTTCCCTGGATGGTGGCTATTTAAGTACTTCTCTAAGAATTCTGTCCCCTAAAATAATGAACATCTAGTTAGCTCTTAACAACCCTGTTTAAGGGGTTCTAAACTATGCATGTTCTAATATATACACATTCAACTGTGATATCAATGTATAGATTCTAGTATACACATGCACACACAGATACTGAGCCCAGCTTGCAAAAATACTTTAAAAATATCCCTCAGTGACTTCTACTGGGGCTATTTTGAGGACTGCTTGACAATCATCAGTCTGATGGTGATGCACTAACAACTGCAGAAAATCTACCTCATTCCCTGAGCTGAGTGACAGGAAGATTGGACAATACTGCTACACTTCTCAAAAGCGAGTTCGAAACAGGAATAAATGCTGCGCTGACAGCCCTGAAACGAAATCCTTTTATCCACGGCACTGGTCCAGCCTGAGGAATATATCTGCAAGCACCATTCCTATGCAAGCTGCAAGGTAGGGTACCTCTTTTATTCATACCATAAGGACACAAGTTTAAATCTTCACCTGCCTGAACTCTGCTACTGGCTATTTGCTGTAGTATCAGGGCACTAAACTGTCTTTAAGAAACTGGGCTTACAGATTTCTGCTCAAGATCCAGGACTCCCATCTCCGCAGTCAGTTGGGATGGAGATACTAACAGAAACTCATAATCTTCCCGGAAACCCATGGGCTCTGTCAGCAATCAGATGCAGAAAGCGCTGTGTCCTTATAAACTCCCCCTTTTTGCCTTTCAGCCTACGCTGCTTTGATTCACTAGTCCATTTGGATGATGCTTTTTGTGTAACAGCTGACTGATGGCATTTCCATATTTTTTGAAAAGCAAAAAATACCAGTGACCTTAGTAAACGCCAGCACTAAAGCACTTAAATGTTTCCAGCAGTCCAGCCATTGTAGCTTTGATTTGTTCCTTGGCTAAACTGACCACCGCTTACTGACTTCTGTTTATCTGCAGTTCAGTGATAAAGTTCCCTTAATTCTCCAATGAATTGAAATATTTAGGGCAATGCCACAGCTGTGTTTATTCTCACACTCCACCACAGTTATGTAAATACTGCATATGGAGCCGTTTCTGATAAAGCCCATACCAACCCAAAGGAATTACATGTTAGCTCTAGATGGCTGCCAAGATGCGCAGCATCGCTCCAGCTTGGCAATGCGTATGAATGATATCACATTTTCTCAGAGATCATTTGGCAAAACTTATAATAAAAGAGTAATTTTTCTCTCTCCCTCTCAGAGTGCCACTGAGCCGAGGAGCGTTTCCAGCATCCCCTTCTCCACCCGCAGGACGTGAGAGGTGACACAAGACCCGACGCCTCCAAATGCTGTAACCTTGCACCTAAAAGGCCAGAACTCCCTCCCTCACTGCATCATCCAGAGGTTTTACTTTACAGGGCATCCGAAGAAGTTGAAAGCAAGTGTTTGATAGACCATACTCATTCCACATTTGATAAGGCCTCTTTCTGTAGGAGTGTTCATTATCTAAGAAATACCTTTTATCAAATCTCTTGAAAGCACTTCTCCCACCAGCATTGGCTCAGGACCAAATCAGGCACTGATTTACACTCGTGCCTTTTCCCGGGTCAGATTATGTATTCAGTGACTGATTAAAGTGTGGAGTAAATCCCTTGAAGTTAATGATAAGCTGCAGCCAGAGTTATTCGAGTCCATCACGCTACTTTGATTTTGTACCGGCATAGTCAGGAACAAAGCACTCTGCCACTGACTCTGCAAACTTAAAAAAGGCACGAGGGCCAAACTGCTCGCTCCATCTCCTCCATCACTGTCTGCACATGAAACTGTGGTAAGTAATTTTGATGATTTCTGAGTGTACAAATATGGGAGGCTTTCCACAAAAGGGGAGATTTAGAGGAACAAAATCAGAGATGACATTTAAACAGTTATAAGTTCCATTATAAAATAAAAAAATAAACCTGTTATGGTTATTTTTCAATTCTACATGCAGCATCAGGAGATAAACCAGGAATAAAATACATTAAAATTAAGCAATGGAAACTTTGGGTTTAGTCTGCAAGGAAAATATTCCATAGAGAGACTGTTAGGCTTGCAATGAATCCCCCAGCGTACATGGAAGAGGCATCTTCATCGGATGCACCTAAATGGAGGTGAAAGCAATTTTACCAAGCAAGCGCTATTTGGTAATCAAGTGGAGTTTTTCTACATGAAAGTCTCTTGGTCCCCTCACCATCACAAGGGTACCTGCAGTATTAACAGTTGCTTGCTGACTTTCAACTTACAGTGGTAAAAATTACGTAGTTACTTGTTTCATGGGAGCTGGACTAGGCTGATGTCCAAACAGAGGGTGTGTATATCACTAATGAGCTGTCACAGTTGATTTCATTTC